CGCCCCTGTAATTTGAGCAGCTACAGCTAGAGAAAGAAAAACCAGAATGTTAAATTCAAAGATCTTAGAATTTCAGGGGGTTCAAGTTCCGATTCCTAGATCACAACTTGCCATTATAGCTGGTACTGGGTTCAATCTATGGGAGCTGCCATTCTCATGTTCCACCCAAGATGGTGGAACCTGTGTTAGAACAAGTGAACACATCTGATTCCCACCATTCAAAATAGAAGGAATCTCATAACATCTAGTATTTGGTGCCGAAACCTTACAAGAACAATTTACGTTGTCTGCTGTCTGGAAACCCAAGTAGGGATGCAATAGTGTAGTTGATTAACAGATTAACCGATAAGCAAAAGCTTACAAGTTAATGCTACAGAATACACGCATTTCTTCCCCCCCTCCCCATGCCAGTAAATTTTTTTTAGCAGGCTCATCAGCAGTCCAGCTCAGCCCTGGCTTGTGCCGGGTCCAGGACCTACCCTCGCTGTGACTCTGAATTTAAACTGTATTAGGAGCCAGGTGAGCAGGCAGGAAATAGCAGGGGACTCCTCAGGAGTGAGGCTGGAGCTCAGAATAGTCAAGTAACCAATAAGAATTCATGAGGTTAATCAACTATTCAATTAACCAATATTTAACTTCCCAAACCCAAGTCCTATCCTCAAACCTGAACATTAACCTAAACTTGGATCCAACACCTGATCCAAGCAGAACCTCCTCAGACTACCTTTATTTGCAACCGTGAAATGAACATATTTTGCATTCCCTGTTGACTTGGGCAACTTTCCTCCCTCTCTCAAATGACAAACTACCTCCCAGCCCTATCTCCAGACATTTATTTAATTTCTGATATGAGGAAAGGAAACTATTTTCCCCTCCAGGGTCCAAGATTTTGTACCATTAAAAACTGAAAAATAAATAAAACCATAACCAGCTGTAAAAATATTCGCTAAAGAAGTTGCAGATGTTCCTAGGAAAGCTACTGAATATTTTGGCACCTTTGCTCTGTCATGGAAAGTAAAACATGATATTCAGTTATGGCTGTTGTGTGAGTTTATACAATTTAAGTCAGTTGAGACAAATAGGTACTGGATAGAGCTAAAGGGAACGTGGATTAGATAGGCCAAATTGGTTAAGGTTTTCAAAAGCACCTAAGAGATTTAGGAGCCTAAGTCACTGGGGGTATGTCTATACTACGGGACAAGGTCGAATTAAGATATGCAACTTCAGCTATATTAATTGCGTAGCTCAGTGGTCTCCAACCTTTTTAAGCATGAGATCACTTTTTGAATTTAAGTGCAATCCAGGATCTACCTCAAACCCAAACACCCTTGCCCCGCCTCCTTCCGCCCCTTCCCTGAGACCCCACCCTGCTCACTCCATCCTCCCTCCCCCATCCTCACTCACTTTTACTAGGCTGGGGGAAGGAGTTTTGGGTGCAGGAGAGGTTCAGGACTGGGGCCGGGGTTTGGAATGCAGGCTCCAGCTGGGCACTGCTTACCACAGGTGGCTTCTGGATGGTTGTGGTGCAGGGGGCTAAGGCAGGCTCACCCCTCCCCCTCTTCCTCTTCTTCCCATGCCCTGCATAGCAAGCAGGAGGCTCCCACGGGTGGGGAGCAACTCCAAGGCATAGGGCAGAAGCTGCACAGCAGTGCTGAGAGAGGAAGATGAAGTGCCTGCACTTGACAGCCTCTCAGCCAAACCTCTCAGGATCACCCGTCAAAGGCTCCAAGATCTACCAGTAGATCCCGATCTACTGGTTGGTGCCCACTGGCGTAGCTGAAGATGAAGTGCCTTAGCTCAACTTTTGGCGCTGTCCACACTGCAGGAAGTCAAAAGGAGAACACTCCCCCTTCGGCTTCCCTTCCTCCTCATGAAAACAGGACTATTGGCATTGACCAGCGTGTCCCTCTCAGTTTATATTAGCGTGTCTTAACCAGATCCACTAGTTCGAACCCTGGAAGATCGACAGCAGCAGCTTCGATTATCTCTGTAGTGTAGGCAAAACCTGGGTGAAATCCTAGCACCACTAAAGCCAATACCAAAACTCCCAGCGACTTCATTTAGGCCAGAATTTCACCCTTCGACTTTAAATGAAAGTTAAGTTATCAAGTGTCTGAGCCACTTTGATGGGACATAGGTTTTAAATCACGTAAGTACTTTAAAACATTTTACCTATTAAGACTACAGACCACGGCCACACTGAGTGATGCAGGAATATGTAAATTATTTGGCCTTATTCCACTAAGAAATTGAACACTGGAATGAAAATTCACCCCGAAAGAGAGCAAGCTGACATTTGGGTTTCCATCAGAAACTCCGTTTAAGCCTGGCTAGTGGGTGTCACTGAGAGAACATTCTGAATCAGCGCACTCCCCAGCAGTCCTAGACATACTCCTCTGTCTTCAAGGAAGGTTGTGGTTAAGTTGTATTGCCTCTACTTCCCTCGGTAGTGGACTTACCCAATTTCAGATGCCTCCAGAAAACATCATGCCCATCCACCAAATACTTTCCATTCCCCAAACTCCTTGATTTTCCTCTGCCTGACTCCTCAAAGGGACAGCCCATTTCTGACTTCCTTTTTCTTCCCAACACTTTATTTCCCTCTGACCACTACACAGTGAGGTCCCATGGATCCAAGGAGTCTGACTTATTTCACGCTAAAGACAAGAGCCATAACACCTAACCAAGTCTAGAAAGGAAAGGAAGTGATGCTGCCTACAGTTAGCTTAACCAATTTATCAGTTATGGGAAAGAAGGCAACATGAATGCAAATTAGTTTTCTCAAAAAGACAGAGAGAAAGCCTAGTCACAAAACACCACCATCAAGAGGAGTGTAACCAGATTGTCTAGTGGTTAGAGCACAGACTGAGAAACAGGAACATGAATTCTAGTCCAAGATCTGTAATTGATACACTTGTTTAACCTTTTTTGTGTCTTAGCTTTCCCAACTATACGATTGCAATAATATTTAAAGGGCTTTCAAAAAGTGGATGAGACCTTCAGATGACAAATACTAATATGAAGTATTATTGCTACTAAAAGGAAAGTCACATCAGCAGGCCTCCTGATGGAAGAGGACAAAGGGGACAACTGTCCCAGGACCCAGCAATTCAAAAGGGTCTGGGGGATTCCAACCACTGCAGCCAGTCCTGTAGGAGCAGTGGTGGCCTGAGCCCCGGGCTCTTTAAATTGCCATTGGAGTGCTGTGCTGGCATGCTTGAGGAAGCTCTGAGGGCTGGGGAGGTGCGGGGGGAACACATCGCACAGCATGCTCCCGACAGTGCTGAGGGCTGGCTGCCCCCCACAACTCTGCCCCTTCCATCTGGAGCCCTCCCCATCTTGCCTGGGAGCCCAACAAGTCTATCAGCCCCGCCCCCCCAGCACATCAGTGATGAGTGAACCCTCCAAACTTTTACTTGTTTGGGATTCCGAGAAACATTTAACAGGTCAAAGTGAATCTACAAAATTGAGCTGGACTTCTCAGCTCTTTTATAAGGTTGCTGGAATAGCCTTTCCCACAATACTTCAGGACTCTAGATCTCAGTGCCAGCCAGGAATCAAGAATTGAAGATGTGTACAAGAATGGAATATTATTCAATAATCGTATATTTTCCAACACCAAAATAGGGTTGGTATATCTCCAGCTTTATGGCTGGGAAAAGTTTTGAGTCCATTTTTATAGACTATAGCAGGGACCATCATTTACTTCATGTTTGGGCAACACAATGAGGTCCTGATCTGGCTGAAGGCTATGGATACCACTGCAATACAAATCATGAACATTATCTCAAGAGGGTTCTCTTAATCCTACCATTGATGCTCCGCATGTCAACAGCTATGATGACAATTATTAGCAACATAGATATCACAACTGGAAAACATTTTTAGGTCATCTAATCTATCCCAAAGTAGTAGAGCATTTCTCCAGAAAGCATACTGTAAGATTTCCTCTCAGACATTTAGTTTTCCAACAGAAGCCGTTCATCATTTAATCTCTAATCTAACAGATATCACATTGCTGAAAATGTCCTCAATCTTCGGTTCTACCAGGACAATGAAGAGGCATACCATGTACTCTCTGCAAATAAAATATCCATCCAAGGAAAATATGTTGCTGTATTCATTGAAGTACTTACATTTTGATATGCCACAACTATGCCTGGCAAATACTGGATGGTGACAATGTCTCCAGAAAGAGAAAGAATGTGCATGTCCTGGAAACATAAAGGAGGCCCAAGCCATAAACTTCAAACCCATCTCCAAACTTTCCCAAAGTTCATAACTGTTTGGTTGTGAGATTTTGCTTTCAGCAAGCTTATGAAAAAGGGAATGCGGAACCCTATTTATGCAGGATTCCTCTCCCCCCCAGCATCTCAGCCTTCCTTAAACTTACCCGCTAATGCAGGGCTACTCAACATGTGGCCCACAGTGTGGTTTGGGTTTATGCGGGGCTCAACACGTGGCCCATGGGTGGGATCCTGTGAAAGTGGCCTCCACTGGGAACAATGGCAAGACATCTCAGAGGTGGGGTGAGCACTGAAAGATGCAAGCAGATGGGCTGGCTGGAACAGATGGGTACACGGTGTTGGCATTTCTAGCCCTGAGGAAGGAGGTGCCGGGAGCACCGGGGCATTGTGGGAAGTGCTTTGTATTCATGCCATGAATGTGCAACCACACTTAAGTTGTGGCCCTCGGCATTTGCTGTGAGTATCATTGTGGCCCCCGGGGGTTCCAAAGTTGAGTAGCCCTGTGCTGATGTCTGATGAGGAAAGAAACAAAATCACAGATCCATAATACTTGAGTTTGACTGAATGATGACAATTCCACATTAAACAACATCAGAGCACCCACAGCTGCATCAACATCATCTATAAAAAGCATGACACTACACAAAGCTTTGGCTAAGAAAGCCAAGAGCCTAAAATCAGCCAAGGTTTGGAACAAAGCCATTTCTGAATTCTCATGTAAAATGATGCTGCTGCCATATTGCTTACCTTCCACTGAGGTTTTCCACAAATTAACAGCTGTAGCAGACTCACAAGAAAACATGGGCTGCATCCAAGTCTTTATTCTTTAGAAATGTTGTTTAATTTCATTCTGTTCCATATGGAGAGGATGGGCGGGGTAATAATAGCCTAAAACCAAAATCTGAGAAAGAGATTGGGTATAAATCTAACATATGGTGCAATGGAAAGAAAGCAGATAACTAAAATAGCAAACGTGGTGGCCTGAATCCTTATTCCATTACCCCAGTGTGACAGAGTGGAGAATCAGACCCATTAAAACTATTTTTGACTCAGCCCTAACAATCTGTGACAATCTCTGACCATCATAACCACTTTGATAAGGTTAGACTCATTCTGTATTCTTTCCAGTCAAAAACCACTAAGGGACAACTCATTCCTATTTAAGTCAGAGATAAAACACCCAGCGACTAGAGCGAGAATACAGTTTGGCAGCAAGCGCAGAGAAAATTGCATATTTTTGTTGGTTTGTTGAGGTGCAACTGGCAAGGTGATATCAGGCTGCTATTGCTGGTTTCATATCATTGCCTTTTCCTTTGGTTTGAATTTAGACGTCAGCTATTTTCACCAAGCACCATACTGAGTGATATAAAGGGATTTATTTTGAGTGACAACGCAACCCTACTTAAACCAGAAAGTACTTTGATTTTCAACATGTGCAGATGGCTTTTAGAGTCGCTTGAGACAGAGCGAACAGCCAAGCTGGCAATAAGATAAGAATTCTTAGAATTAGAAGACATTGATTCAAATGCTGTGTTGTCTTCTAGAGATGTGTGACTGACATTCTAATTAGACTTGGCAGAGTAAGATTTTTACTGGTAAATGTCAATTTTAAACACATACACTCTCTCACACACAAACTGACAAAAAATTCTGTGGATAATAATCTAAGTGTACACATAGGCAAAGCGGGCAAAATGCTGCGTAAGAAATTATGAGAGTTTGATTTAAGGATATTTACTTTCTATGTTTTGCTACAATGTCACCAATTTGTATTTTAGCAGTTATAACACTTTAATTTTCTGAATCTCATTATCTATTGTCATTAAAAATTATCCGATCCACCTATTGACACACCATAATTTTGCACAACTGTGAACATTTAAATAGACACAAATCTTTAAAAATCCTTAAAATCAAACATTGATGTCCATCACAATTAACAAAAAAGAAAAACTGGGTTCTGCCAAGCCTCGTTATAATATTTTGCATGTAGATAGGGCTCTTCAATAAGAGGACTCAGATATTACTTAGTTTCACTGCCAGTGTAATCCAGATATACAGTCCATTTTATGTAACACCGAAACAGTAACACTTGCATGGATTATATCTGACTATGGTTACTAAGGAAGATGCTGAAAATCTGCCTTACAATATAAGTGTTGAGAAGATGCCTTTGCAAATAATATTTTGGTATGCCCAAAATATTAACTGGAAGACAGCATCACCAATATTTGACTTACTTTGCAATCCATCTATAGTGGATACAAACTTTAGCCTATAAGGCAATTTTGCCCAGTGGATAAGGTTTTTGACAACAAGACAGGGGTTCTGCTGTTAGCCAGCCACCAACGTTCTGGGTGACCTTGGGCAGGTCGATTTGTAACCCACACACCCATGGATATGTTTCACTGTCTTTACTTTGTTCAGTTTGTAAACTGTCTGGGGTAAGGAATTCTGCATCTGTACTTTGCCGAGCACAATGGGGAGTTGATCTCACTTGGGACCCTTGGATGCTGCTGCAACACATCACACAGTAGTAATGAAATGCAGCGTGATGTGGTTCAAACATTTTATCAGTTACAGGTAGGAAATCGGCAATGTGAACAGCAAATAAACAATGAAACGTCAGATTCCCAAGCAGGAACTGCAGACTTATATTTTTTTCAGATCACTTCTGTCACCATTACAATTCAAGAACATTTTGTCTTATCTTGCAGGAATAACTGTCATCTATAATGTTTATAAACCATCTGATACCAAAGTGTCATGTCCCCTAAAGTAACCAAAAACACTTTCCAGGATCTTTTAGGAAACCTGAACAAAGTGCTACTAAGCGTTCCCGCTGCTGTATGGATGAAGACAGACAAATGATCTCCCAGATCTTTTCAGTTGTGAATTGAGCAAGTTAAAACAACTGTGGGTTTCTTTGAACACTGGCTCATTGTAAAGGGGAACTGGGTAGTAATCTGGGGCTTAAGGGAAGGGCAACTCTTAATAAAATGATATTACTTAATGATATAGTCTTTTTCCTCAGTAAATCTTGATGCAATTTACAAAAGAAGAAAAGCAGCATTACCCACACTTTACAGCTGCAACGACAGACACACAAAGAGATAAAGAGCACAATTTTCAAAAGTGACTAAGGGTTATACTTTTAAAGGTTTTAATCTTTTATTTCAGTGGGAGTTAGGCATCTAAACACCTTTCAAAGCCTGGCCCTAAATCAGTTAGGAGCCTAAATCCCATAGAAAGTCAATGGAAATGAAACTCCTAGCTCAGTCACTTGGATCTATGTTTCTAAAAGCTCTTAAGTGACATGTCCAAGATCACAGACCATGTTAGTGTCAAAGGCAAGGATAGAACGCAACTATTCTGGCACCCGGTTTAGCACACTAGTCACAGGACTATGCTGGTTCACTTAATGCTACTTTCACACCATCTATAAATACAGTTTGTTGCAAGGAGGTTGGCCTTGATTCACAAAGGTACTTAGGTACCTAAGCCCCAGGCATAGGCAACCAGGTCCCAGTTTTAGGCTCCACTATGACCTACAAAGCTCCCACTGAACCCTGTCTTAAAAAAGGATCTTAATGAATCTACAAGTGGTTTGACAGACCAGAACCTGGAGGCCATGCTATCCTATAAGGATTGCACAAAACAAGACACAGATGTGGTGGTGGACAAACACCGCTCGGAAGTTGGTTGGTTCCAAAACCTCCGCTACTGACACCTCAATCTGGGACAATTCCTCAGATTTGTCACCTAAAAAGAATAGCTCAGGTTTGGGAATCTCCCTAACATCCTCAGCCATAAAGACTGAAGCAAAGAATTCATTTAGTTTCTCTGCAACAACCTTATCATCTTTGAGTGCTCCTTTAGCATCTCAATCATCCAAGGTCCCCACTGATTGTTTAGCAGGCTTCCTGTTTTTGATGTACTTAAAAACATTTTGCTATTATTTTTTGAGTTTTTGGCTAGCTGTTCTTCAAACTCCTTTTTGGCTTTTCTTATTACAGTAAACTTCCGATAATCCGGCACCTTTAGGACCCAGGGGGTGCCGGACTATCAGAAGGGGGGGCTATGAGGGGTCTGGAGTGGGGTGGGAGGGGATGCCACTCCAGACCCCTCATAGCCCCCCCTTATGATAGTCCGGCTCTGCCCCAGGCGTCCCTGATTCAGCCACTGCTGGTCAGTTTCAGCAGCAGCTGAATCGGGGGTGCCTGCCG